CCAAAGTCCATCATGACGACAAGTCCCCCGGCCAAGATATGTGGATGGCTTTTTCCGGTGCAAAGCCTGTATGTCCATGGCTGCCGCGTTTGTGTTGACGGCTTCTCCACAACATGGCTTCTCTTGGCTGCATGACCGCGGCTGATAAATTGGCCCATCCAAGCCCACCAGTCACTAGGCGCATCTCATTGCAGTCAGTGGCTGAATTAAGACTCCGACAAGCTCATCATGGCCCCTAGGTAAGAAACGTTCAGGACACAGCTAGGGATCACAACTCATATCAGAACCGTGCTCGCCCCAGGGTAGACGTGGACTACGACGAGCCGACGAAAAGCGACCCCACTGACATGCCACCCGGCAAGACGCGAGACGTCGGAGCAGCTTCGAAAGGTTCTGCCGAAAACACTGCATATGCTCTCCTTGGTTTGTTGAGGCTTCCAGCTTCCTAGCTTCCTAGAGCCAAGGAATGTGAAGAAGGCCCATGCCAAGGATGTGGCCGTGCGGCCCTACGCACCTGCCATCCCACGGATGCTGGTGCCAAAGTCCCTCCGGGGACTTGTGACATCGATCCAGTTCCAGGCTGCGAAGTTGGGAAGTTGGATCCGAGAGTTGTAGAGTGTAGAGTTGAGAAAGAAAATGCTCAGGTGGAGGCCGTCAAGAAGGCCCTGCTTCCGGCCACCGAAGCGCTGCGTGCATTCTTCGTGTGGAAGCGGCTTGAATGCAGCTTCCTTTGCCTAGGAGCTTGGTGCCCCTGCAATCTGAACATGTTTGCTGATCCGCAGAGAGCTCAAACCCTAAACCCTAAACTCCTAAGCGGGCTCGTCCTTGCTATAAGTAGGAGGCAAAAACAACTCCTAAGCCTTGACCTCTGAAACCAACGGTGCCGTTCATCAGCGGGCCGCTTCTTCATGTCGAGCTTTGTGCCTGGATTGCAAGGCGCCCAGTGAAGATGAGCTTGCTCATCATATACCTCGTGTTCCGCTCCTACATCTCTTTCTATGCCTTCTTGTACGACGAGAGCTGGTGCCATGTAGCCATTGTCGTCCTGACTTGGTTGCGCTTCTTGGTGGATTTAGCAAAAGTAAGGCTTGCAGCAAATAAGCTTCGGTCGAACAGCTCACTGCATTGTGCCGGGGCTTTTGCAGTTTCTGAAGGTGATGCAAAGAAAGCATGTATGCAGAGTGCGACTAGGGATGGCCAAGGTCAGGTATTTGGAGTTATGCCGTAGACGCCCATGGCCTGTTACTTCCGGGCGGTTTCTGTTCTTTGTGCGAGTGCTTTTTTGGTTGCTGGGAAAATTCTGCTTTTCCGCAGCTTCAGGCAAATCAGTGTCCTTGGGAGTCTGTGAGGCTCCGCAGGTTTAGGGTTTAGGGTTTAGGGTTTAGTCGGTGGACGAGTGGCTAACTACCAGGCGTTCTTGCTTGCAGGCCTGCAGCAAAAAGGGTTTAGGGTTTAGGGTGGTGGTTGGCTGGCTCAGGAAATGGAATTGTTGCAATCCTTGTCCTCTTGGCCGCTTGGTCGCAAGTTCCCGGTTCCCAGCACTCGTGTAGTCTTGTTAGAGTTAAACTATAGTATGTCCCCCCACAAACCCTCTTCTAACTATAAGATAGTATACCCCCAAACCCTGTTCCAACTCTAGCTGGTCCTTTGGTCCCTTTGCCATTTGAGGTGCTCTTCGGACAAGCAAGGCTATGGAAGGTCCTTCGCGCTATCGGCCTGATGGCTGCAGGGAAATGCTGCGACCGACGCCAGGCCTTCGGGTTTAGGGTTTAGGGGTTTAGGGATGAGTTCATCCCTGGATGCAAAAAGGGATGAATTCTTCCCATTTGAGGTGTTTCGTGTGCGGCAGTCGGCATGAGATGAAAGGCCTTGCGACATCTTGTATCGATCCTAGGCCATACAAATAATGGCAATAGTAGTAGTGATAGTACTGGTAATAGTATTGGCAATAATGACAAAAGCAATAGTAACAATAATCATAATACAGAAGAGGAATAGTTTAATACTAGTAATAATGGTAATGGTAATAGTAACAATAAAAGCAATAGTAATAGTAAAAAAGTAATAATGACAATCAGTACTGTCAGTACTGACAAAAATGCAGCGCGGGGATGGCAGGGGCTCGGTTGACTCTACTGCTCGAAGGGGTCGTGGGCAGGTTGTCCGGGTGGAACGAAGCATACAGTTAAGGGTTTCGGCGCTCACACTCGGACAATCCGTTTAGGGTTTAAGGTTTGCAGTACCCCTTTTGTGCTGTCGTCAGATTGCTAGAGGCCGGAGTGTCTTAATGGATTCGTACCAGCTCGTAACAGTGCGTCGAAAACGCTCCCTTGAGTTGCGGTTACCCTCAGAAGCCAGCTCTGCCCCCTGAAACTCTCAACCCTTAAACTCGCATGCCTGTTGCTCGTGGTGCCTGGAACCCGGCATGGCCATGCCTGGTTGTGGGAGCATGTGATTGGGCATCCGGAAAGTTGGACCATCGTGCTCTGACGCCTCGCCTGGAACGGTCCCAGTTGTGAGAGTCGAAACCCTCAAGTATGAGTCGACTTGAGAGTGAGCGCCGAACCCTACACTCTAAACCGAAACCCTCGACCCTCAACCCTACCGCCAGCGGAACCCGAAAAGTGGCGAGGCACCTGACTGCTGGAAGTTCTACAAGCATGCGACGGAGCCGTACCTGAAGAAGACCCAATGAGTTCAAAGAAGCCCCTCGGCCGGGGTCTTTGGTCGAGTTTCTCAGGTTCATAGCGAAGGTATCGCATCATCTACTGACTTTTCCCCCTGCTATCAACGGAGGTCCGGAACAAGAGCCCCAGAGACAGAAAAGTCGAGGACTTCTTGGCACCTGCTCGTGAGTTCCTCTCAGGCACAGCAGGAATGTTGCCAGGCAAGCATCTTCCCTGGACCAAAGCTGGCAAGGCAGCGCATTCCATCAGATTTCATCATATTCAATCTCCTTGGTCCTGGAACTTGCTTGTGAGGATGTTTTCTTGAAGACCAATGTGTGGTGCTTGCCTGCTGGCGCCAAATCAGTCATAACATGATTCCCGAGAAAGGCTGAAGACCTGAAGATGCAGTATGCTATTGCCGGGTTTGCTGCAGACTGATTTGACTCTCACGCGCGATGCCTGCGGGAAGCAATTGGCACCTGCAGCCACTTGATTCAAGCATGTTCCGTGCGCGCGGGCAACGGTAGGCCGGCTGAGTGGCTGCGTAACCGCAGCGCTGCTTTGAAGTCCTTTCAAGTTGCCTCGTTTCACACTTGCCCCCCTCAGGGATGCTTTGCTCATGAGCACCTGAGTTTTATTGAGCAGAGGGCAAATGGGTCATGCCAAGCCTTAATGAGGAAGCCAGTTCTCTCCACTTCTCAGCTTGGGGCCTGTTGCACAGACATGACCCAAGCGTTTGCATCATTTCCTTCGTTGGCGACTACAAGAGCCAGCCGGAACAATACTGGAAAGCGAGGGAAAGGGTCGGGCTTTCCGGCATCTACTTGCAGCCAAGCAGCTTTTCTCCTCTTGACTTGTCACAGATCCGGCCCTGGCCTGCAAGCTTTCCACAGCGCACGCCCGTGGCACGATGTCCAGGCAAAGCTCTGGCATCAGATTCGCTTCTTCGCATCGCCTGAAGTCAACTGAGGCTTCGATCCTTCTGTTGACTTGGCATATTTTGCACCGAGCTGTCTTGCAGGGTAGCAGCTATGTGCCCGCAGCTACTTCATGAAGTCGCATTTGTTTGAGCTGAACATGGGCCGAAGCTGCCTGCATGCGGCAATAAAGGCATCTGACACACAGACACCCAAGGTTAGCGAAAACATAGTAACTATAGTCCTTTCTTTGGGATCTTTCTGGACATTCCGAGTATTGATAGCAGGAACTTTGTATTAAGGTACAACGCCTCTAATTCCTGGGCAAGTTCGCGATAAAGTCTCCGGCGCAGCCTTCCTCAATGCAAGAGCAGTTGCAGTCGTAGTAGTATCCGTCGTAGTAGTTGTCGCTCTCGTAGTAGTAGTAGTAGTAGTAGTAGTAGTAGTGGTAGTAGGAGCTGTTGTTGCTGTTGCTGTTGCATGTTGTTTGTTGCTGTTGCTCTTTGCTGTTGTTGGTGGTGCTGGCTGCTGGTGCTGGCGCCGGGGTGCGGATGGGGCTGGGGCTGGGGCTGGCGTTGGCGTTGGTGTTGTCGTTGTCATTGTTGTTGTTGTTGTTGGTGGTGGTGGTAGTGGTGGCGGTCGTGGTAGCGGTAGTGGTGGTGGCTGGTGTCGGTGGTGGTGTTGGCGTTGTTCTTCATGTTGTCCTTGTTGTTGTTGTTGTTGGTG